GACGGTTGAGTTCTCAGACTTTGACCCACACTTCTGGGGTCTGCTACCGAATAGTAAATGGTCAACTTTTCCTCATTTGTAAAAGACCGTGCTACCTCAGAGGATCTTCATGATTGTCAGCGTTGTAAAGGGCCCACTGATCATGTTTAGTCAAGGACACTTATAATTTAGGTCTAGAACTAATACTTCCCAAGATGTAATACTTTTTCCTGCTGGAACCCTATAATCTAGTTTCTGTACCATGTCGGGGTGTATGAGACGTGGGTACAATAGGATTTGCCTCTCATTTGAGCAAATCTTTTGTTTTGTTTTGTTTTGTTTTTCAAGACAAGGTTTCTCTGTGTAGTTTTGGTTCTGGTCCTGCATCTCGCTCTGTAGGCCAGGCTGGCCTCGAACTCACAGAGATCCTCCTGGCTCTGCCTCCCGAGTGCTGGGATTAAAGGTGTGCGCCACTGCCGCCTGGCTGGAGCAAATCTTAATACACTGTACTTCAGTTCAACCTCGGCCCGTCTGAGAATTGATGCCACCTGACCAATTTTAAAATGTCCCAATTAATGATTTTTGTTGCTTATTGGCTTTTTATTTGCTTATTGATGATTGATGCAAAGATTATTATTATTTTTTTGTGGCAGATTTTTTTTTCCCTAGTGACAAAGGAGTGTCTTTGCACTTGATCTGTCTCCTTTTTCATACAGACTTCTGTCTTTTCTGGAACTGTTTGTTGGAGCAGTTTAACATTATAGAACAAAGGATAATGACCCAAGCTTGATCTGACCTTTTGGGAGGCCCTCTTGTGCTGTGGATTCAAACTGTAGGTTACAATTCAATACTGGTATGAAAACACCTCAGTGAAATCATAACTAGGACTTTTTAAAAAATGAAGAAAAAACCTGTTACAATAGTAAGGAAAGCTATTTCCTCAACTTAAATTCTTACACATACATTTTATATGCAATATATTCACATATGTATATATACAGGTATTAACTTACAATAGGAAACATACTTCTAAGGGTTATTCTTAAGGTTTGAAAACCTATTTTTTTTTTCCTTTTATTTTATGTTATACCATTCAGTTCTACATATCAGCCACGGTTCCCCTGTTCTCCCCCCTCCCACCCTCTCCCCTTACCCCCAGCCCACCCCCCATTCTCACCTCCTCCAGGGCAAATCCTCCCCCGAGGACTGCGATCAACCTGGTAGACTCAGTCCAGGGAGGTCCAGTCCCCTCCTCCCAGACTGAGCCAAGCGTCCCTGCATAAGCTCCAGGTTTCAAACAGCCAACTCATGCAATGAGCACAGGACCTGGTACCACTGCCTGGATGCCTCCCAAACAGATCAAGCCAATCAACTGTCTCACCTATTCAGAGGGCCTGATCCAGCTGGAGGCCCCCTCAGCCTTTGGTTCATAGTTCATGTGTTTGAAAACCTATTTTAATGGCCTTTGTTTTGTTTGCTTTCTTGTATCTTAGCCCATTAAGTCTTCACAGTAGTGTATTAAAATCAGATCTCTGCTGCCTTCCCAAACCAAAGGCATGTATTTTCCTCTTCAACATTCTCTGAGCTTTCTCTACAGGAAGGGCTGTTGTTTTTCACCCTGTGAGACAGGATTTAGCTCAGGCTAGACTGGAACTGTGTAGCCAAGGATGACCCTGAACTTCTGATCTTCTGGCCCCCACCCCTAGTGAGGACTGCAGGTATGTACCACCAGGCCTGCTTTATGACGGTCTGAGATCAAGCCCAGGACTTCCTGCAGGCTGGGGTGCACTCTATCAGCTGGGCTACCTCTATAGGAAGAATCCTGAATAAAGGTTTGCCTTAGTTTGTCTTCTATGACTGTGATAAAACACAACTACCCTGTCAGGGTAAACAGATAGGTAAACATTTCACAAGTTTGAATCATTTAAGTGTTAAGAGATACACCAGAGGCCTGCATAATGTCAGTTGTTACTAAAGGAGGTATAAGAACAAATGAAGTCCTGTAACTTGTACTTCTAGGGCTGACTACAAGAATGACAGCATCTTCCTTTCAACCCCTGACATGGATGCCTCAAGCAACCTTTGATGGAAGTGTAGACAAGACCACCCAAAAGGCCAGGAACTGGAACTTCTTTAAATGTAGAGATTTGCAAATTGTGCTACAGCTTACTAATAAATAAGTGATTGTGTAGGAGGCAAATGGAGCCTGAGCTTTGCTTTCTTAATAAGTAGCTAGTAGATGCCATTTTCTATCACAGGCAACCTGAGTCTTAAATGACTAAATTGTCAATTTGAGAAATAACTATGTAGTCTTCTTGCACTTCCGAAATACTCCAAAATCATATTACCCAAACATCACCCATTTATCAAAGTAAATTTATTTGATTACTTACTCCAGACAAATGAAGCTCACGTGTACAATCATAAAACAGGACAAAATTAACATATACCACAGCTATCTAGAAGGGACAGCAGCCGCAGTCATTTCACAGAACACCGTGGTATGATGTAGCACCATTGCCATCAAAGACACTCTCTATGGGTCTTTTTGAAAATCCGGCGATAGTTTAAAATTGTAACAAATTCAGAGGCTTGAGAGACGGCTCAGCAGTAAGGACCGCCTGCTGCAGTTCCAGAGGCCCAAGTGTGGTTCCCAGCACCCATGTTGGGCAGCTCACAGCAGCCTGTACCTTCAGAGATCTTCAGGACGCCCTCTTCTTGGCTCTGTAGGCAGTGCACTCACATGTACATTAACACACCTACACTCACATAAACAAAATAAGTCTTTAAAAAATTAACATATTTGATAATCTTGTGTTCAATTAATTTCAAATATAAAATTAGATTATTTCTAAAATAGAGAAATTGGAAAGGATATGACCTCATATAATCCCCTTAGACAGTCCTAAGGAAATAGTTATTAGAGTCTGATTTCCTTTGATCATTTGCACAAATTCTAATCTTTGTATGATTTATTAGGTAGTAATTGATTTAAACAAATTTGTTTATAAAAATATATATGTTAAAAAAACTAAAGCATTTCCATTTATTGGTATGTTCAGTGAGTTCGGAGGAGCAAGTGAGAACTTTCATGCTATAGAACTCAAAGGATTCAGATTTTCACTCTTCCTTCATCTTTAAGGATCATTCTATTTTGAGTGACCTTAATAACATGGAAAAGTTGATGGTAAACATTTTTCTAAATACCAACCACATTTTCACCCAAAATATAGAAAGTACCTAAGAAATACGGCGTTTGTGAGGTCCTCACCAGCCCCTTTTATTAGTTAAGAGCCACACTGCATTCAGAAATCCACTGCAGCAAAATCAAATGTCCTGGTGGTCCCACCCTCAGCCTCCTTTGTGGGGCATGAAGTACTCTGAGAAACCAATGAACACTACTTTCCCTTGACTAGAAAAACGATTAAAAAGCATCTTTAACACAATTCCAAAGGGTTCTCAGATACTCTTGACTCTCAAGCTAGAAACTATTTCAAAACCAAGGGACAAGCAGGTGTGGTGCCGAGGAGGGAGGGTCCCCCCCACGCTGTAAGGCAGCATGGTCTACACAGCAGGTGTCAGGCCAGCCAGGGTTACAAAGTGAGGCAGATCTTGGGGGTGCTGCAGAAAAAAAGGCCTGGCCCACTTGATACTGTCCATTTTCAGCTAACTGCTAACTAGTAAGCATTTTACTAACACCACTGAGTGGCTGTCTTCAGACTAAATTAGTCTTATTTTAAGCATCAATAAACTTGAAAAGCCAGGCGGTGGTGGCACACACCTTTAATCCCAGCACTCAGGAGGCAGAGTCAGCCAGATCTCTGTGAGTTCAAGGCCAGCCTGGTCTATAAAGCAAGATCCAGGAAAGGCTCCAAAACTACACAGAGAAACCGTCTCAAAAAACGAAAAATAAAATAAAATAAACTTTAAAAATGTATTATTCTCCCCAGTTTCACAAGGTGTTAAACCAACTACTTTCTACCTCAAATTGGTTAAATTCTCAGAGTTGAAACTCCTAGGTACCTGTTTTCCTTTGTTAGTCTCCAGAGCTAGTCACTGAAGAGTGAGCCAAAGAAAGTATAGTACCTTAGGAAAATGAACATGATCTAGAGGCTGGAGGTTATAAAATACGTTTCTAGCTATAGTTACACACTTGAAAACAGACAGCAAGCATAACACTGAATCCCAAATGTTTTAATTAATGGGAACCAGTCTGACAGAATACCCCCTACTGTGCTAATGGAATGTACCAAAAGTCCCCACTACCAGTCAGGACAGGAAGCTCTTTAACCTTTGAGGGAACCCACTGTTATCAAGACCCATCTAATTAATTCCTCAGTTGTCAGACAAGTTGATGAAGTCCCTCTTTGTAAACCTTGATGCTGAACCATTGACCATGCTGAATGGACCCTTAGCCTAAGAGAAAAAACTACTATACTACCAGGGCCAGGCTTGTTCTTTATCGGAATAAGATTTAATTAAATCCCTCATCAAATAATTTTCCTAGGTTCAAGGTCAGGTGTCAGTCCTTTTATAATCATTCAATTTTGCATATTTATAGAACAAATGCCAAACATTTAAATTCAGGAAAAGGTTAACTATGAAAATGGCTTTGCCAAGGAAGCTCCAGCTCCTCCTGGCCTTTGATAGAGACCGTGAGAGCGGAACGACCCTTCCTTTTCATCTCTTGCTCTTTACTGTATACGTCAACACTAGAACTTGCCTTTCAGACACCCGTGCATCAGATGGGAGAGGGAGGACACAGCACTCTGACAACCTCAACTTAAGGATTTAAAATTAGTGGTAAAGAGTTTGCAAGTGAAAACGGATTACCCTTTCCCGTGTGTCTTATGAAGACCACGGCCAGGTTATTCCCCCTCACTACTCAAATGTACTGCCCACTTCTGGACCTCCTACACAGCTGAGTGAGAGCTCAAGAAGGTGGTATGCACCTGCCTGTGCTTCTGCGTCTCACTTTAAATATATTACTTAAGTGTATTTAAAAAATTAAAGACAGACAGTAAAGGTTTTAAAGTTTCTCTTTGAAAAGATGATATCTTACAGTACATACAAAAATACTCTGAAAATACATACGACTTCATTTACAAAACACGGAGTCAACAGATTACAAGAATTACATGGTTGTGGATTTTTAATAAACTGAGCATGCATTCATGAAACTTAAAAAATATTAAGAAATGCACTGAAAAAAAGCAGTGTAAAAAAAGACAACTCATATAGTTAAATAAAAACTACAAAGGTCCTGAGCCAATTAATGGTCGGTAACAATGTCATTCAAAAATGCCTTGAGATTTCAATAAAATCCACTGCTTATTCCGCATGCCTAATCCATGAAGAGACTGTTGGAAATTATGGTGAGGGATTACCATGCTGAGTTAATTTTATACTTCAAAAATACAAATCTGCCATACTTAAATGAATCTTATCATTGATGGTGGGATGAATTCTTTCTTTGTAAAAAATACCAATCGGCTAACAAGAATGTCATGAGATAGTAAGATATGTAACAATTTCACCATTCACATACTGACTTTCAGTATCCTGGTTATAGTTTGATTTTTAATAAAGATGCATTTTGAAGGCCTCCATGGGAGGCAAATATAGAGAATTTATGGTGCCCAACTCTGGTGTAGTCACTGGACTAATCCTCCCTGGTAACTATGCAACATCTGGACAAAAGCACAAAAATAGTTGAAATATTTATGTGCCAATCTGGAAAAAATAATTTAAATTAACAAAATAGACATCTACACAAATGAAGGAAGCAGAAAAGACACCTCACATTCATTAATCTTGGGTTTTACAAAGTGGCTTCAAGTCAACACATAAACATTTAGAAAATTACAGGACAGGGTTTTTTTTTTGTTGTTTTTTTTTAAACTTTTCCAGCTCTATACAATGATTACAACATAAGACTTAAAAAAAGAAAGAAAAAAAAAAAAGAAAAAAAAAACAAAAAACAGTTCAGGACTTGTTTTATCAGAGTCCAAGTGGCCAAGAACTGGTTTTCATGACAGAGAAACAAACATCAAAGTTAAGGCAGTAAAAACCTCAAAATGCAAAGCCATAATAGTGTAGATGACAATTACTAGCAGGTGGTCCTCAGAGCGTATGCAGCAGTCAGTGAGAGGATGCCACAGCATGTCAAGGTCGAATGAGAGGTCAGGAACCACTCCAAGGTCATTAGGCTGTTGACTGACTGCCACGCCATCGAGGCCACTGTGTGACTGCAGTTCACCTCAGGAAGAGGCACCGCCATTACCGGTTGAGGGTCAGTCGGATGGAGTTTTTGATGACTCGGATGTTGCTGGCTGGAACTGGAGATGATGAATCTGGCAGTTCTTTACTGGGTAGTCTCTGTTGAAAGAAAGACACACACACACAAAAGTGTGTATGTACACACATACATGTACAGCGCTGCCCTATAATGGCTCATCTAATAATCAACTATCACGCTCTTCTTGGACTATTTCTCCAAAGCCTACACCCTAGCATTCACAGGTGTACCCAAAAGCTCCTTCCCTACTTGCTCTGGAAAAGAGGACTTGGTTAACTCAATCACCACTAGAAATGTATAAAGAGCTCCACCCTCCCTAACGCTGAGCAAGGACACTGAGCAATAGAAAGTGCATAGTGACTGAAGAGCAAAGTCTTAAGAATGTGAAGTAAAAAGGAGTATTATACAGCAAAATCTGGTGCCTGAGAGTTAGGTCCCTCAATTAGTCTTTGTATTGTGTGATAGAAACAATATACAACTTGTCAATAGTTAAATGCAAAGGATGTGGTCAGTGGTAGATCACTTGTGTGGCATGCATGAGGTTCTGAGTTTAACCCCCAGCACCATAAATAAGTAAATGAATTGGTAAAAGTTCAGACTTACATAGAGAATAGGACAATGAAGATTTATATAGCATAGTCAAACTTCAGACACTATACAATTCTATTCACTTATCCTTTATTCTTGGTTTTTGTTTTGTTTTTGTTTTGACACAGGTTTGTCTATGTAGCTCTGGCTCTTCAGACATCTACCTGCCTCTGCCTCCTGAGTGCTGGGATTAAAGCCCTAGCTGTACCTGAAATATCTTAAAACATAATCATGCCATTCACTTTTATATTTTAATATTCATCCCAATATTTCCCATCCATTACCGTATTTAGTATGTATTTTTGTAATGCATTTTTGCAGCGTGAGTTGTGTAAGTAAAATTGCCTGTGAAGATATTACTTTACTCCCAAAGTCCTGACACAGTAAGAATGACGACAGGGAAGCAGTTCCTCTGTGGAAGGTTTGAGAAAAGAAGCCATCTGTTCTGTACACTCTCAGGGAAGGGCTTCCCATCATCTATACAAGGCTCCTTTCTAACACTTGCTCACTAGCTTTCCATGCTTAATGTATTGGATTTCTAATAACTTCAATTCTGAAAGCAGTGTATATAAATAACAAAAGCTATCTTTGGCATTAGTAAGAAACTCCTATGCTGAGCAACCAACTGTTGATAGAGACTAAAACAGACTGAATCTAAGTAGGTCACACAGTCTTGAACTATTTCCCCTTCTAGACTCTTTAGGAATGTCCACTCAGAACTGGACACTGTCATCTCCAGTCCTAACCCCAACCACGCTGCTGTCGCTGACAACGGGGACACACTCACATAGGCCCTTTCCTGGCCTTAGGTGTTGTTTCTTTGAGACAGGGTTTTACTCTGTAGCTTAAGCTAGTTTTGAACTTGAAGCAATCCTGCCTTAGACTTCTAAATACTTGGATTTAGTTTTAGTTAAGTTCTTTTGTACTTGTTTTTACCTATAGAACTATTACCATAATCTATTACCTTTTTGCGTGATGTATCAATAGTGGGAATGGGCATAGATTCTCCACCAATGGCATCCTAAAAATAAAAGAATTAAAAATACAGGTTTAAATCTTCTTACCATTTACACCACTATTCCTACTTAAAGTAAATCATGACCAAAAAGTGATGACTCATACTTCCTATGGTACTTTTTACAGCCTATTGCTCTTTAAGTCCACATTCAGAGTGCAGTATTAACATATTTACCATTGGTTTTCTCTTCCTATCCTCGGCAGCATGGGAGTCCTTAAATGCTGACTCAAGTCGAATAAACTAAGACATAAACAATAAAAATGAGTTGCTATTATATATCTGCAAAGACCATACATATCAATATAAATCAGGAGATTAATCAGTCTATCATTGAAAATGACAATTTAATTAATGACTTCAATTAACTACAACTAAAATTAGATTGAATTCAACTGCTACCCTTAATTTCTGCACCTTAAGTGATCTTTTTGGTTAAATCAATTCAGATTCTAACAAAATAATTTATTACCATCTGCTGGAAGCTAAGAAGATCCACATAACAAAAAAAATACCACATTTACATCTAGTCTCCTTAACTTTTGAGTAAGTCAAGAAACTTAAACCAATCAAGTAAGCTTTCAGACATCAATAATTTGAAGTTAAGATGAACAACAAATATTGTTCCTGAAGAGTTTGAAATATTCTTTTCAAACAGAACAACTTCCAGTGGAAAACTTACATAGTTAAGGAAAATTGTCAGCTTCTTTACTATTATTTGAACTTAAAAAAAAAAAAAACCAAAAACCAATGAGTGATCACTGTTAAAGTCCTAACTTTACCTTTTCTATGTCTTTCAACCTCTTGGAAGTCCCATCTGTAGGTGGTGAATGGGATCTTTTGGGTGTGACGTTCTTACTTATATTAGACAGTCCGTTTAGCTGTGGCTGTCCCTGGACAACGCTGTGGGGTGTTGTGACTCTAGGAATGACATTGCGTCCCACTAGAGTAGGAATGGTGCATCCAGAAGGGGAGGACGCGGCTTTGACTGTCGGGTCAGCCTCTGAAAGTACAGAATAATTTCAGCAATCCAACAGTCATGTAGCAGAACTATTAGGAATAATAATCAGGTTTGGATACCCACTTGCACCAATGACTGGAATAGACAGCCCTTGAGCTGGAGGGACACTTGGCAGCTTCTCCACAATTACAGTGGCAGGCTCAGCACTATTCCTAGTAAAAGTACAAAATTATCATTATTAATTTATTTCACTATTACTGATTTAAAAGCTCTCACTTCAACATTCAGGATTACTTCTTTCTAGTATTTCAACTTTACCAGAAGAACAGAGAAAGTCAGATAACATGAAGAAAATCAAGAGGAAAAAAATCTGAGTAGAAAACTTGTACATTTGTCTATACTGCACAATTCCACGGCCCTTGTTCCTAGAACAACCCCTCAGCACTACACACACTGTTGAGTATTCCTAAACAAGACACTAGTAGCTAGTAAGAGAAAACTCTTTTAACAAAGAAAATAGATCTTTTAGGAAAGGTACAGAAAGTTCTCGTCACCCTCCAATAACAGCCTGCAAGGACAGCTTGGACGCACACCTTTCTGCCTCTCCTGAGGGGCTGTTTGGGTTGGAAGTCTTGTTTGTAGACACGGGCGAATTAAAAGGTGTTCCACTATCGGTGTCCCGGGAGCTATCCAGACAACTGCTATCCAGGGATGATCTTTTGGACTGAAGGCCACCTGAATTCCGGCTTACATCAGAAAGGCTCT